CTCAAACTGGACCCCCTCAGGTTCTGACCAGTCTCTAACTGGACCCCGTCAGGTTCTGACCAGTCTGTAACTGGCCGGTGTCCGACCCTCAGACAGGCTGTGAAGACGACTCTCCTCTACCACCACTCCTGCTCAGACACAGTTTAGCTGCGGCGGCCATCTTGAATCAGGCCCTGATCCATAGCGACGTCATTAAATTCATCCAGTCGTTAGTGAGATATTTTGCTAACAGACAGACCTGAGCAGAGGGTGCTGTGGTCCTGAATGTTGTGCTGGAGACTCCACGAGTGACAGCAGAGTATTATGGGCTGTCAGAACCTGTCAGAACCTGTCAGAACCTGTCAGAACCTGTCAGAACCTCACAATCTGCTGTTTTATTTATAAAACACACCTGCGCGTGCACACAGGTGTGAAACAAAGTTTCAGCCATGATGGACAGAACAGGAAGTTCGTCCAGAACCGGTTCCGACTCACCTGCCCAGCTCGTCTCCGATCTCGTAGAACTCCTCCACGTTGTCCGGGCTGAACCCGGTCATGTTGCCGAACCTCCCGGTCCAGTCGCTGCTTTGATCCGAGCCGCCGGCTCCTCACTCCGGAACCATCCCTACCAGCAGCCTCCGGTCCCGGCTGGGCCGCCGGACCGCCTCATGCCAGGGCTGCCGAACCCTGCGAGAACAGGAGATGAATGCTGGTGAGAATGGCCCGGTTCGTGACCCGGTTCGTGACCCGGTTCGTGACCCGGTTCCGCCAGTCACTCCAACAAAAGGAGCCGGCAGATGAGCCTGACGTCACGACTCGTGGAGCTGCTGTTTCCCGCGGCTCACCTGCTTTAATTATTCACCTGAGACCCAAACGAACACCTGCGTTTTAAATGTGTCAACAAGAGGAGCGGGACACGGAACCAGCGGCCGGGTCCGAACCAGCGCCGGGTCCGAACCAGCGGCCGGGTCCGAACCAGCGGCTGGGTCCGAACCAGCGCCGGGTCCGAACCAGCGCCGGGTCCAAACCACCGCCGGGTCCGAACCAGCGCCGGGTCCGAACCAGCGCCGGGTCCGAACCAGCCCACAAAGCTTGGTGTAGCCATGGGAAACCCGCCGAGCCCCACACCCCCCTCCTCCGAACCCAGCAGGAAAACGACTACTGGGTTCGAGCCAGAACCGAGACCTGGACAGGTGTCTGGCACCGGACCGAACACGGTCCAAACCCTTCAAAGAAACCTCCCCTCCTGTTCCCATTTAACGCAGTCTGAAAAATGAATATTCACGTTAGCTAGTCTGTGTTTTTAGCGCCTCTTTAACCCAAAACTGAGGTGAAAATACCGGGAAGTAGCTTACGGTGTGCCGGTGGGTGTCCCGCTGCCGAACCGAGCCGAGATTTCATGCGTTTTCACCCAGGTTCGGCTGACGGAAGACGAACGCTGCTGCTCCGGGGACAGAAATAACAAAGTGAGGCAGGCTGGTCACGGTGGTGCGTTCAAATACATGGAAAATCCGACACGCGATCCAGAGAGCGACTTTAAGGTGAGGAGCGGACGCGTCAGGGAACATATTAGACTAAACAAAACAAACACAAGGCAATTATTGATAAATATTAAATAATTTTACGTTTTAATTAGAGCAAATTTATTGAATATGTATGATATTTGCCTCTCTAAATGTATGGAAAACTGATAAAGTTAAGATTTCCGCCTTTTTATCGGGAATTGAAGGCAGCATTAGTTAACAGGCGTGGCCGCTAGAGGGCAGTAAAGATTTCACTTTCAATTTTATCATAATTAAAAATCAGGCAGAAAATAATCACATTAAATGTACAAAAATTTGTTGTTGAATTTTAAACGCAATATTTTACTTTCTTAAAAATACATGACGAAATTTACATTTGGGGTCGTTTTTTTTATTGATTGTACAATCAAATTAAATATTTTATGATGTATTCAACAAAATTAGGAAATGGACAATTTTTGTTTTGTTTTGTAAATATTTAGGATTATAATGATATATTTAATAGAATAATGTTTTAGTTTCTGTTAGGTTCTTTCTGTTCCCGCAGCCTCAGAAGAAAGGCGTTAAAAGTCCCACAGAACGTGTTGTTGTGAACAAACTGAGCACCCGGGCTGGTTGTGGTTCTGATTCTGGACTTTAAAGGTTTACAATCATCACTGATGGAACAGAAATGTCTTCTGATAGAGGAAACCTGCCCTGAATGGTTTCAGTCTGATCAAACCAGCAGGTTCTGTCAGGAGGAATGGACTCTGTGTGGGCTCTGGTGTTGGTTCCATGGGACAAACCTGAACCGGCCCAGATTAGGATTCTAATGATCCAACGGTCAGGATTAAATAATTGTTTCATCGTTGAGGAACATGATGGAAATAAATCAGCTGAGCGCCGTCTGTAGGTCTGTAGAACCCCCCAAGACCTGAGGGATCCGGATCTCCACAGGAAGAAGCAGCAGCTCGGTGGTCTCAGTCCTGAAGCAGAAGGACCAGGACCCGGACCTCTGTGGTTCTGATCTGGACCTTTATTTCTCCTGCCTCCCTGATCCCGCTGGTCCACCTCACCAAACATCTCACCAGGAGATACTCAGAGATCTGGACCTCATTTCATCCGTATAGACATCCAGGTCTCCTCAGCTCTGCCTCCATGATTCTGGTCCATCAATTCTCTTCAATGTCTCCATGATCCATCTTGTCTCTGAACCAGTTTTCAGTGGTACGTTCAGGGTCATTTTCCTGTTGGACAGTTGGTCTCTGTCCCAGTCTTTCATCTGAGAGTTTATCTGTCTCTGACCAGTTTCTCCACAGCATGATGCTTCCACTGCCATGCTTCACTGGAGGGGTGGTGCATGGTGTTCTCCTTGATGTTTGGTCTCATTAGCATCTTCTTCCACAGGTGTCTCCATCCTGTCCACTCAGCTCTCAGCAGCTTCTATGGTCCTGAGGACAGATCCTCCAGCTCTGTCAGGGTTGTCTTTGTCCTCCTGGATGTCTTCATGTCCTCCTCTGTGAGTTTTGGTGGACGACTCTCTGAAGTGGTGACATCGTGGTTCAAATATAATGGAGCCCGGTGGGACCTTCAGGGTTTTAGAACCCGACCTTGAAATGTACTTACAGCTTTGTCTCTGACCTGTGTGGAGAGCTCCTTGGTCTTCATGATGTCTCTTGCTTTGTGGTGGACATTAAAGCGTACAGGTGTTGGTTCTACCTGAACAGGTGTTTATTTTCTCACATCCTCTGACTCTTGGCTCTCTCACAGGATCAAAGTGGTTCTGAAGGTTCTGAAAACGTCTGCACGCACCATTCTTCAGTTTGATCAGGTATTCCTTTGATGTTCTTTAAATTGATCCACAGTATTTTTTTAACTGAACAACTTTTACATAAGAATTTATTTGGAACTGTAAATGTATTAAATGGTAAATCGGCCTGCCATACAGGTTCGTTCCGTCAGATTTATATAAAACCAGCTGCACCGCCCCCTGGTGGCCGCGAGCTGCTCTCACAGCAGATTTCTGTATTTTTAAACGTTTTATTTTAAAAAGTCACGTGCACTAAAGTTACTTTTATTAATTCATGGCGCTGCAGAGCTGCAGTCTTTGTGTCCAAACAGGAAAAGACAAAAACAGAAAACAATTAAAAATCAATATTGGATCTAAATATTTATTATTAACTCTAACTGGTTTCTCCCGCTGCTGAAAGACAAACCTGTCTGTTAGCAAAATATCTCATGAACCAGTGGACAAACTTTATTAAACCTCTCAAGACAATAACATCGACAGCTCGTTAATTTAGGTCGGTTAAAGATGGCCGCCACAGCTAATCAGTCAGTTTTACAGGAGCTGAGAGTCGTCCCAAACTCACACTCTGAGGGATCACGTGAACTTTGTCTAAAACTCACATCAAAGGCGGCGGGCGATAAGCCTTTGATGTATTGTCTTCTATGCCCTGACCTGATCCAGGTCCTGCCCTGCAGACTCAGACCTGATCCTGCTGGTCCTGCAGCCTCGGTTTCTGTCCTGGTCTCTGGCTCTGCAGGCTCTTGTCCTGGTCTATGGCCTTGCAGACTCAGACCTGGTCCTGGTTTCTGGCCCTGCACTCAAACCTGGTTCAGTTCTCTGGTCCAGACTCAGACCTGGTCCTGGTTTCTGGCTCTGCAGCCTCAGACCTGCAGACTCAGACCTGGTCCTGGCTCTGCAGACTCAGATCTGGTCTTGGTCTCTGGCCCTGCAGCCTCAGATCTGCAGACTCAGACCTGGTCTTGGTCTCTGGCCCTGCAGACCTGGTCCTGGGCTCTGGCCCTGCAGACACAAGTCTTGGTCCTGATACTGATTCTTGAAGCGGAGGAGGAGAGACGGTTCCTGGGAGCGGAGGAGATGGAGGACTGGGGGACTGCAGGAGCCGCCAGCCTCCTCCTGCTCCCCCCGCCCCCCCTCAGCCAGCAGCTGAAGGACGCAGCGGAGGCGCAGAAGCTGTGGATGGAGATGATTTCCGCTGTCAGCAGGGATGCAGACGGATCCAGCAGCACCGAGCTGAGTCCGGCCTCTCCTCCCGCTCCGACCTGCTCCTCCAGAGGGAGGGAGGACAGGAAGGGGAAGAGCCTGATCCGCGGCTGGAAGAGGGACAGGGACGCTCCTCTGGCCCGGAGCAGGAAGGACAAACCCGGAGAGGACCATCATGGACCCGTCTTCCTGCCTGAGCATCACCCCGGACACGGATCCCCCTGTTCCGGGCCGGACTCCCGGATCCCCGGAGGAGAGAACAACGTAAACAACAACAACAACAACACAAACAACAACAGCAGCAGCAGCGGAGGAGCTTTTGTTGTCCGGCGGCAGCTCGAAGACCCGCCGGCCGCCAAGAAACACCGAGGAGCCGAGAAGGTAGGAGGGGGGGGGGGGGGGGTGTACGGGGTGATGCTCAGGCTGGCTTTCCTCTTTCTCCTCACGTTTTCCGACTTTA